AGGGCGGAGAATCATCATAAGGTGCACGGGAATCAGACTGCAAATTGGCAACCATGACAACAGGATTTGCAGTGAACCAGAAGTAAAAGTGGTAGTAGAAGTAGTAGTAGTCACAGTATGTAAAGTAGTACTAACCGCAAAAGTAGAAGGCATGTGGGAAGGTCACACGAAAGCTATGTACATATGCTCATCTTCCTTGCGCCTACGCCATTTCTTGCAGAATTGCATTGCATTAAGGAAAGTCACAAAGGATTCGTGCTTCTCATCCAGTAAAACAATGTGCTCGTTCCCCATAGCATCGTGTACTACAAAGAGTGATTTGTTCCACTCAGTTCTTTTGCATTGGGACTGTTGCGAGCCCAATCCAAGAACTGCGTCAAAGGGGCACTTATCAAGGACATAGAAGTTTAGTTCGTGTGCGACAGTTTTATCATTGTCAAAGACACAAAGGTGGTGCGCACACCTTTGACTGCATGTGTAGATGAGACAACTTATTTGTTGCCTACTTGGGTCCGGCAAGGGGTTTGCTACTACACTTGCTTCATTCCCAAGCCCACTGTGCATGCCCTGTGTGGAGACATGAAGTTAGTAGTAGGACTGCAGTCAACCAAGAAAAGGGGTAGTGGCGGTTAATGAGAAGCTTGAAGAAGATCAATTCTCCAGTCCCTTGAGCATGATGTTGTTTCATCTCAACCCAATGCTCCAAGTAGTAGTGGGGGTTAATCTTCTCACACTCCTCCCAAGGCTCAACATAGATGGGGCTTCAAGAGAGGAGTGTTGAATTGAATCAGGTTCCTCAGAGGAACTTTCACTTATGAGTTTAGTCTCCCTCGAAGGAGAGTGTGTTGATAACGACTTTACGACCGGTTTTGGTTTCCCTGCAGCCTATAACAATCCTGGACTTGATGATTCGGTTTCAGGCAATGCAGGCAAACTCCCCTTTTTATCTTAGCCTTCCATTCACTTTCACTGATCCAGAGATCCAACCAAGGTTTGGTTGTAGCATCCTCGGGTTAAACGGGTTTGGCTGTGATCTTGACTCCTTTGGGGAGTGGGACAAAGTTCTTCCCTGAGTTCCGGTTTGGTCCCTTCACATTGGCAGACTTTCTAAAGGCATTAAGTTTTTCGTCTTCGTTGGCTGAAGAGGAACAGGCTGTATCAGCGTCCTATTCTTGGTCGTCACCAAGATTGGGGTCATCTGCATAGGCCTCCTCATCAACCTCCAACAGGTCATGCACGACAAAACGGTTGCTGCCTCTAAACCGTCCGTGGCCAAAGGCCTTCTTGTTGTTGCTTGTTGTAGAAACGAGGTCTTGTGCCTCAAGACTGAGTATATCCTGCATGAAAGGAAGTCTGTCGGTATAGTCCATGAGCCCTTTGCCTAGGCAATAAGTGTAGGTAGAGGGAACCACCCCTTTCACCACGTCCAAGCACGATTGTGTGGACATCTCTAGTCCAGGAGTAGCGGACAGGTTGCTAATGTGGGATAAAAGATGTTTCATGGAGCTCGACCACTTGCTGTGCTTGAGCTTGTCCAGCTGAAGCTTTACTCTTGCAGCAGCATGTGGGTCCTTGTATTGTTGAATGAGCAGATCTTCGAGTGTGCTAATTGGTGTGGCCTTAAGGCGTAAACCACTAGTACACGGCCCCAACCTTGTTGCTACAAGAAAACGAGGCCGATATGTCAAACATTGGGTCTGCCGTCGATAAATTGGATCGTTCGTTGTGTTTTCATTTCGCGCCAGAATTTGAGATGTCAGGCCCGCGGCCCAGATGCCCATGTTCCCCATGATCAAGGACTGAGATACCAAGTGCGTTCCCAACACCTCAAAGTAAGATTGCATGTTGCTGATCCAGGACTCAACGTTACCCTTACAATCGTACTTGGGTGGTATTTGAACCGCCTTCTTGTCCACATAGGGATTGTTGTAGCTGAGACCAGCAACTGTTGTCTCTGGGCTTGGGGCTGCAGCACTTGCAGAACTGCCTGCACTATTGTTTGCTGTAACAACGGCGGAGTCTGCACCTACTGCAGGTCCCGACGGATTGTTAACAAAACTCAAAGAAGAAGAAGAAGAAGAAGAAGAAGAAGAAGAAGAAGAAGAGTCATGGAGAGGGGCAAGGATAAAATGGTTAGCAGCATCAAAGGCAAAAGGTAGAGCAAGATAATTAGGGACCTGAGGCTGATGCATATTTGCCATCTGCTGCATCTGATCACGGTGCTACTTTTCCATATCCGCGATTTGCGTATGCAGTTTGCTCACCTGGTAAAACAGTTTGGACACTTGACCAAGGAGTTCACTGAGCATGTGACAGTCTATGAGAGCACGCAGATACTTGACTAGATCTTTCTGAACCTCTCTCCATCCATCAGGTGAGGAAGCAGTTTGGATGCTCATACACACAATCAAGACCACACAGGAGTAGGAAGAGAAACCCAGAATAACCCCAGCAGGACAAACAATACCATGCACACATTCATGGGCATCCCGTAGGTGCATGACACTTGAGTGGCCTGAGCTTTGAGATGAAGTAGAACTCAACCCCCCTCTCATATGGTCATCCTGACCCCTTTAATGCTACCCCTACACTAGTGTCCTGTCTACTAGGAGGGTCTGACTCCAACACCAAAGTCCAACACTGGATCCCCCACCGATGCTGAAGATCAAAGTAGCAACTTGCAATCCATAGATGCAGAATGGCTACTTCCCTCAAGCTCGCCTACTCGAGGGAAGCCCTGAAGTCGCCAAGTGTTTCCCTTAGGTCAGATTCCAGGTGTGAGTGCCTCTCACTGTCGGCAGTCGCAAATTGTCGCATGAAGTCTTCTCGAAGTGTCTCGCCAGCCCAATCTTACACTCTTGCAACCAGGTTAGGTCCAATGTCGAGCTAACACGACGTTACCAGGTGGGGGCAGCTTCCCTATACCATGTTGCCCCACTTCCCGCTTCGGGCCAGCCCTAACCCTAAGTGGCCGCCCGAACCAGTTAGTTTAGGGTTGGGTGGCAAAGCCAACTCTCGCCAGCAAGTAGAATCCGCTCTGATACCAATGTTACGATCCTGGCCAGTTTCGAAGTGCAAATCACGAGAAAGCTCAATGCCGTCCAATTGCAAAAGACATGATAAACTTGAGAGGAGAGAGAGGGAAAGAAGAAGAAGAAGGAAGAAAGACGAAAAAAAAGATGTACACCAGCAAAGACCAATGATAATCCTCCTTCTCAGCGCCAACCAACTCCTCAGCCTTTTCTCCTTCCCTCTTATTCAAACATTAAATAATAATAATAATAATAATAATAATGATGAATGGCAGAACCAGAATCAATGTCCGAATCCCTCTTCTGCTGCCAGCACAACTTGAGGTCCACCATGGCCATGGCCACCTCCCTCTTCCTCTTTCCTCAAGGACGAGGCTATGGCGGACTACTAAGGGCCCTTCCTTGACATGCAAAAGACAAAACAAAGCATCTATGGCTGCTTCCACTCAGGCCGCCATGCCTGACTCTGCCTCGAAGCTCTACCCCAACGGGGCCATGCCCACCAAGGTGATGAAGCTGGCATCCACCATAGCCAGGTAAGTACCCCTGGCGCTCCCCTACCCTAGTCCCCTTCTTTCTCCTCCTCCCACCCGAGCTCCTCCACCATAGCCACGGTGGGGAGCTGCTCTTCCCCACACAGCACTGTATGCTAGCGCTGCTCCTTCCAGCGCTCCAGCAGAGTGATGTCCAAACTTGCACGCAGCAAATGAGGAGGAGCACTTCGCTCCTCGTGGAGATATAGCGGCCAACTTGCCTCTTGGATGTTGACTTCCAGGCCGCGTGGCCTGCAAGCAACCAGTACCTCCTCTCTTTCGGAGGGAAACATCATTGCAGACTCTGATATTGCCCGTACAGGCCCTAGACTACTTGGACTGGTACCCGCTTAGACCTGGCCTACAACTACTGGGCCTCTAAAAATGCCAACTTTTTGTCTTCTTCTGCTCGGCCTCCAGTCCCCGACACATCTACCAGTACTTGAGTGGTACCGGCCTACCTGCTTCTTGAGTGTTTTTCCCCGCTGCTCTAAGTGTTGCGGGCCTCCTCCCGCTACTTGAGTGTTTTCCTCGCTGCAACCCTCAATGTCACGGCCACAGGTAAGTACCGGCCGTATGGGGCCTCCCAAGCAAGCAAGTACCCTTGCGGGTCACACACACACACTCAGACAGGCACGCAGACCGGCAAGCACGCACACACACAGACTTAGAAAACTCTGCAGAAATCTGGAATCTCAGCAAGCCGTTCATTCCGGCGGCAAAACTCAGAAATCAGCTGTGTTCTCAGTCCGTTTTGGGGGAGGTCCTCACACCCATTGAAATGGCTGGAAAACGGGTCCAGCATCCCTTACAATTATGACCCACTCTATGCTTCCGTCCATCACAGTTGAAGGCTGCTGAGACACCGGCATTGATTACTTCCTTTAAGGAAGGATATACCACCGCTCTAGCGGCTCTACCACTGCTTGTCGGCCTTTTTTTCCTGCTCCCCTCAGCCCTCTCCTGAGTTTGAATCCTGATGGAATCAACTGATTAAATTAACTCTGAATCGGTCCTTTGGGACATCCGTTAAAATGGAACGATACAGAGAAGATTAGCATGGCCCCTGCACAAGGATGACATGCATAAATCGAGAAATGGTCAAAAAAAAAAAAAAAGAAGAAGAAGAAGAAAAAAAAGAACACTCTGAATCACCTGCGGGCAGTGTTCACTTCGATGCTGATATCTCAAGGTCGTCGCCCTTTAAATAAAAGGAAGGAGTGTAGGTGGGAGCAAGCCCATAATCAGGATGGTGCAAGCCTGAACTATGTTCAGTTTAGTCTAGGTCCAAGGCTAGGGGTAGGGCAAGAACTATCCAATGGCTCATCTACCAGTAGCTCTACAACCAGGTCTCTCTTCCAGGACCAGGAGTAGGGCAAGGAGTTAACTTTGCGGAAATGCCCTTTGGATGTTGGACGGATGTGAAACATTGCAGGGTCATGACTCGTGTCAGGCCAACCGTAGTTGCGGGGAGGAGGAAGAACGAAAGAAAAGGAAGTCTGAAGATGGGGACTATGGTGGAGCTGAAGAAAAAGCTCGGTCTCTCCAACCAGCGGCTTGTGGAACTCGGCGCTTCTCATGACAAGTACTGGTACATACCAAACAAGTGGGTTGGTATCGCAAACAGGCTGAAGATCTACCTAATGGGTGCAAAGGGAAACCTGCGCCGCATTGCAAAGAAAGACCTGAAGGAACTGGTTGTACGTGGACTCTATGGCCTCCCAGTTATCACCCCCGACGGGTGTTACAAGCCGCCCTTGGAAGGGCGTATTCCAGAACTGGGAGAGGTGATCTGCCCGCCTCTTGCATCCTCGTTGGTGGGGTCCAGACCCTTTAATTGCCAGATGGAACAGGCAGAGGGGCTGCACCTGTTGATCCAGGCAGATCGGGCAGTCTCTGCAGGCCTTGGAGGAGGAAGAGGAGGGGG